AAAAAATAATGTTGTTAGCAACAAATAATTGTTTAATATAAATTATTTTACCCAAAATTGATGAAGAACGCGATAAAAACTGCACACAAGCAAAATCGACGCGAAAAATTGAAATGTCAAGAGTTGTCAAAAGCCTACAGCGCGCTGTCAAATAGAGATTTCGGCTAATCGATACTTTAAAGCGCTTCAAGCAAGTGAAGTAAAGCTGCCACTAGGCCAACTTTCATACATTTTAGTAGATTTTAAAAATTGTTTGACAGTTCTCAAAGCCAAGCAAGCAAAGCAAGCGTGCATTGGGCCAATACCTTAATGCATATAAATGTACATTTACGTATTTGGAGAAAGAAATCATTTGTCATCATGTACTTCGTTTATTATATACATAAAAAATCTTGTCTACATCCGTTCGGTAGCGTGGTTAAAATATCTCACCTTTCCTTTATACTATATAGGGAAGATAGCAATTTTAAAGAGGTGGAAACCCTTATCAGAAAATTAATACATTATTACACATCCAGAGCAGGGTTGTTGCGAATATTCGCATTCGCATTCGCAACAGCGGAGCTTCCGCATTCATTTTAACATTCGCATTCGCTTTCGCATTCGCAATAATCAATGCGGATCTTTTGCGAATGCGAATATTGAAGGGACCGAAAGTAACAGTTATTTTCTTTACGAGTTAAACTTGGCCAAATATTTTTTATTCCCAACTAAAAGTCCTTTCCGGACAATAAACAAACCGCTTATCCAAATTAAACAAGTTTGGTATCAAATGAAAGAGGACTTAAATAGCTTTAAAACTGAAATGTCTAAACAAGCAAAGTCACCTATTGAAAAATATTTCAATAAAAAATTATAATTAATTACCATAGAACAACCCTTGGGCCAGGTATATGAATTTCTTTAGTATTAAATGATATAAAAAAATATATAAATAGAGATGGTAACCTTCGTTCGTTATTTCTGTTTAAAAGCTATTTCAGTCCTCTCACATGATACCAAATTTGTTTAATTTTGATGAGCTGTTTGTTTATTTTCCAGAAAAAAACTTTCGGAATAAAAAATATTAGGCCAAGTTTAACTGGTAAAAAAATAACTGTTTCGGTCCCTGGAATATTATGCAAGTGCAATGATAAAACGTATATCTGGTCAGTCACAGAAGAAAGGATCAAAAATGAATTACAAAAACTAAAATCGAAAAACGCTGTTGACGTTACTGGTTCTCCACATTCAGAAACAACCAAAAGAATGAGAATGCAGAATTCTTTGGAAAACAACGGTGTTTAATCAACGATCTTGCCATGATAGTAGATTGTGAAGAAGAAAGTCAGGAGGATACATACGACATTTGCAGACCGATGCAATTCCCTAAAAAGAATTATTGCACCGCAATAAAAAAAATAAATATAACTACTAAAAGTCCTCTCGACTGGTGCAGCGTCAATCGAAAAGAATTTACAATTTTGTTAAGTTTCAAGTTTTTCGCAGCGAGCGAGTAGTTATTTAGTGGCGCAGGTTTGATTTACGACCCTTTAAAAACTTTTTATTGAATACAATGTTCCAATTTTTAAATTCAAGTACTAAAAAAAAATGATTAAAAATTACTAACCTTTCCATTTTTTATTTAACTAAATCACCTAATTTACTCACCTAAATTATTTCTTAACAAGTAAAAAGTCTAAGTCCGGGTGGAGCCGAACATTAAATACCCGGTGCAAGTATTCAATATAGTTTTTTCACCTTTACGAAAACTACCGCTACATGGTAAGCAGTGGTGGTTTTACGTCTATCTCAAACATCTTCGATAGAACGTTCAGTTAGACATAATGAGATAAACTTATATAGATATATGTGGGCGGCATCACGCCCATTTTCCAAAATTCCATAATGTTAATTCTTTTCAAGGGATTGTTGTTAGTATCAATTTTGGGTAAAATTAGCGTTATAAAAAGGTGGTCGTAATTTTAGTCAGATTTTAATAACTTTCAAAGTTTTGCCTTTATGGGGCAACCACTATAATCATACCGAGTTTGGTACACATTGATCGAACGGTTACCGAGATACACATATGTGGTTTTAAGTAGGCGGGGTCACGCCCATTTTCCAACATTTTATTATAAGCCTACTTTTTGCTAAAGAATTATTGCAAACATCAATTTTGAATAAATTAGCTGCAGTATTGATTACTGATTTATCGAAGCTTTCGTATTTCTCTAAATTACCGTTATGTGGGATGTGGGCGTGGTTATTATCCGATTTTTTAAATTTTCAGCCGTTTGGTATGTTTTGTGAAGGCCAACAACTGTGCCAAGTTTGGGAGAAATCGGTGGAGCGGTTCCCAAGATATACACATGTAATCATAAGTGGGCGTGCCTACGCCCATTTCCAAAAATTTTTAATATTCTCAGTTTTAATTTTATTTCAAAATAAGTACACATACCAAGTTTCTTTAAGATATCTCAATTTGTACTCGAGTTATCGTGTGCACATACGGTTACTCTTTTCATTCTGATCATTTATGTATACATTTGTCTATATCTATCTCGATTCGTTTTGCCTGTTACAAACAGCCGTTATGTGAAAAAAGTTATAATACCCTTGCGTACAAGTGCGATTTGGTATAAAAATACTTGACATCCGCATTCGCATTCGCATCCGCGGATGTTAGCGTTTGAACATCCGCATCCGCATTCGCATCCGCGGATGTCTAAAATTCCACATTCGCAACATCCCTGATCCAGAGGCTAAGTTTTTTCATTTGACAGTGACGGTGCAGAACTGAGGTCTACGCTTATTAGAATTGAACATAGTAATTTTCTTAACATGTGGCAACCCTAATAGAATTCTAAAATTTAAAAGGTCACTCTCCTATCGATGCAGAATGTATTAGAGAAAATCTCGTCGAAATCCGTTCAGTAGTTTTCGAGATTACCGCGTACAAAGAATGTCGACTTTCCTTTATACTATGTATAGATTTCTTCCACTACCGTCATCCCTATTTTATCGGTATCCTTAACTTTTTCTTTATATTTATCTTTGTTTTTATACCCGAGCACACTTGTGCACAAGGGTATTATAAATTTGTTCACATAACGGTTGTTTGTAACAGGCAAAACGAATCGAGATAGATATAGACAAATGTATACATAAATGATCAGAATGAAAAGAGAAATCGATTAAGCGGTGACTGTCTGTCCGTCCATCTGTCCGTCTGTCCGTCTGTGCACTCGAGTAAAAATTTAGATATCGTAACGAAACTTGGTACGTGTACTTCTTTCGCGCGTAGGACGGATGGTATTGAAAATGGGCAAAATCGGACAATAACCACGCCTACCTCCCATATAATGGTAATTTTCAGAAATACGAAAACTGCTATATTTTAGTAACTACTGAGGATTATTCTCTCAAAATTGATATTTTTTTCTATAATAGTTGCGTTTTTTTACTCATTTCCAGTAAAATCCAGTAAAAGTTTTTACGAATTTTCATGTTTTGGCGTTTTCGTACGCAAAAACTTGCAAAGTAGGGGAAATTGAGAGAGCGAAAAATGACAGTTGAAGTTGCAAGTTTTTACTGGATTTTACTGGATAAATTTTTACTTGTAAGAATTTGCCAGTACGAAAAACAGCTGATCGCATGTTGCTGGATGAAATTTAAACTAATAAGGAAACTGTTTGTGGGTTTTTATTGTTGAATTTCACAAAATAAACCTATTTAAATACAAAATATATTGTTTTATTAGGAATTTGCTGCGAATAAACAACCAATTTATCAGCTGTTCATGAAACTTGCAAATTATTACTGGAAAAGCGTTCGCGTACTTTATTTCAAATTTTTTCTATGAGAGCGAATTCTTAGAAATAAAGTTACTGGAGAGTTGCTGGCAAGTTACTGGATCATTTGTAAAAAAACACAACTAATATGTATTTATTTATTGAATCTTTCTTTCGAAACTAACAATAAGTTTTCAAATCTTACAAACTACCATTAAATTTAAAATTTCTGCGCAATGCTTAGACATTTTTTATATTTTGATTCGTATATATTTATTACAGTTGTTGCGGCTGTCGGAATGGACAAGATTCCGAGCTGCAGGATCGCTGGATATCGTGCTGATCAGGCGGTCTGAAAGGACGAGTTCCAGAGGCGCTCTGCCTCGGCGGGTGGAAAGGACTAGTTTCCACGCCGCGCCTTCGCGTCTCTATATTTAAGTAATTACAATCCAGTAGGCTATGTTCGGTCGGAAAGGACAAGTTTCCGAGCCGCACTGACACTGGTGTTGGGTAGTCGGTATGAAAGGACGAGTTCCAGAGCCGAAATTGATATATTGCGGATATCGAAATTTATTATATTGCACATCATTTGACAATATCGGAGAAATCTTTTCTTTTTAGTCTTCTTGCATATCTCGGGCTAAGAAGATCTCTCGCTAGTCGATTTGGATGGTTCATTAACCGTGCTGAGTAACTGGTGCTTAGCCCTCTTATGTCCTCATGCACTGTATTTACATTAAGATTTTTGTGGATATTCGTATTTTTATGTAGCACGGTGCTCCGCATATGGCGCGTAAAATTTTTGACTGCAGTCTTTGAAGTCTGTTCGAAATGGAATTGCACGCTGTGCCCCAAAGCCCGATTCGATATGCCCAGCATGGTTTAATCATCGTATTAAAAAGCAACTTCTTGTTATTTAGGCTTAATTTAGATTTGTGTCCTATAGCCCATTGAAGGCTTGCTTGTTTTAGTTTCGCTTGAGAAATTTTTTTTCTTTATGCTTTTTCCAGGTAAGTCTTCTGTCTAGTGTCATCCCTTGCTGTTTATTTTTAGTGGTGTGCAAGTTTCTTTCTTCAAAGTAAATGTTGTCTGAACACACTTGCTTTCGTTAACCTTTATCCTCCAAGAACTTAGCCATAGCTCTAACTTTTTCAAATATTCTTGTAGCTTGTAAGAAGCCTCTTTAGGGTCTGAACTATTGCTTAGGATAGCTGTGT